GCCTGCTACTTGTGCAGCAGTAATGAAGGAGCCCAGGTGCAGGTTGCTAGGGCAACCAGAGAGCGCCAGCACCCCACACCTGTTAACGGTCAGCTGACCGGAAGGGGCAGGGCCTGGTTCTTATATAACTCCCAGGCTGAGACCAGGCAGGCAGTTCCCTGCTGGCAGCCAAAGGGGAAGGAGCTCTGCTGTGCTGAGCAAAGAGAGGCCAGACTGCAGGTATGGCCTGAGATTGGGGAAAGATGGAGCAACCCTAGTGTGGCAGGAAGAATGTGATGTTGCAGCCAACTGGCAGAGACTTATGTTATAGCCTGGGGCTTATGTTTTGTTTGTGTTTACTGAGTAACATCATGGAGGTTTGGGTGAGGCTATTAGGGGTTGGAGGAGGCTTCATAGGGGGACCCATGGCAGAGGAGGAACCCTAGTCCCAGACAAAGGGGGCCATTGTTCTACGAACCCCCGGTGAGGCACAGTTGCAGGATGCGGGCTGCGGAGCGCCCGAGCGCCTGGTGAGGTGCAGTAAGATTGAACAATGTTTGGTACATCAGTGAGGCTTGGGGCATGGTACAGGGTGGCTGGTGCCACACATTGCCCATAAGGCTGGGGTGTGCAGGAACACCCGTTAGCAAAGCTGGACTAATGTACAGAAGGATAACCATGTTCAGGGAGACTAAGAGGCAGCCTCCCTAATTACATATGTGACATCAAAGATGTGGTGGGCGCGATTGAGGGTGCGTTGTAGACTGACTGGGCATGGTAAGGGGTGTTAGAGGAGAGCATGGTGACCCTAGGACGCCCCTCCTGCTACACTGACAAAGATGTTACGAATGTCTTGAATTTGACAACAAAGATGATGAGAGCTTTAGCAAATGTTGCACACAAGGACAGGTTGGAAGAACTGGGTCTATTTAGTCCACAGAAAAGCCAACTAAGAGGATTTGATAATAGTCTTCAAAAACAAAAGGTTTGTTATAGCGCAGATGGTGATGTACTTCTCCCTGGCCACAGGAGACGGGGCAAGAGAAGTCTTAAATTGGAACAAGGGAAATTTTAGTTTAGATATTAAGAAAAAAATTCTCACTGGGTGCATCTACACAAGATGCTTTGCTGAGGTGCTGTCTGATTAACACTGCAGTAAAACATCACTGTCTGTATGTGCAATGCTATTAGCCACAGGAAATGAATTAACGTCACCATAGGATAGTACTGCCCAACGTAAGTACTATTGTATTGGCGGAGTTATTTAGTGCGCCACAATGCACGTGTAAATGATGACTGGGGCTGGCTGGGGCATGAGGGTGCTACAGCACTGAAGCATCCTCGTGCCCCAGCCAGCCCCTCCACAACACACTGAGCCAGGTTGGAGCAACTGGACCCTCTGCCAGTCTGGGCTGCTCCACCCTTGTTCAATGTGTTGTGGTCCCAGGAACACATGCAAACACTGTGCCTAGGAGCAATAAACTCTGTCACAATCTGCACTGGAATTTTATTGCTTTTCATTAATAGCAGGTACAGACGCTCACACTATGAGCATGATTAAGCACTGGAATAGGTTGCTTGGAGAGGTTGTGGAGCTTCTACCACTGTTAAGTTTTTTAAGTTCAGGCTAGACAGATGGTTTGACAGGAATGATTCTGCCTTGAGCAGGGGGTTGGACTAAATAACCTCCTGAGGTCCCTTGCAATCTCTTCCTTGCTATGACTTGGAACCTACCCTCCACTCTGTTCATTAGCCGGGCTTGAAGAAGTTCAGATTCTGGACAGGTCAAGTCTTCTCCAGAGACCTATGCAGTTCCATGGTCTCTACCACCTAACTTGACTGAAGTGATCACAACTTGCACTGCGCAAGAAGGCACTCGCCAGAGCCCCTCAGCAAGCCTGCTGCTCCTGGTGACTTCAGCCACCACACAATCTCATCTCCACTCAGCTCTTTTGCAGTATCCTAGCCCTGCTTGCTGCCCTAAAACAGCCTCTGTAGCATCTGAGCTCTCCCGAAAGGAATCGGCACCACAAAGGAGCCTTACCACAAAAGAAAGTGTCCTGAATGGAGTCCCCTTCCCCCATCCCACCTCTCCCTCTCCCTCTGCCCCATCCCTTCACTCCATAGTTATCCATAGGATAACCCCTCACATAGGTTATCCATAGGAGTAACCCCTCACTCCAGACATATTCAAGGCAGGTCTTTTGCCCATTCGTAACCCAACAAGAATAATATCATTTCACTAACCCTACTTCTGAAAACATGAGTGCTTTTACACAATTGCTCCCAACTGTTACATCCATGAAATGAAAACAAAGCCTGGCCTATCCATTTCCTCTTGTTCACCCACAGATTCCAGCTGACCCCCATAAGACATCTGTCCATCAGTAGAGTTTGCGATCAATCTGGGCGATTCTTCTCTTTTCACCAACAGGTGATAACAGCGAGCTGTGTAACTCTCTTCTTATGTAACTCTTTTGTGTAATGCTGCTTTTTGTGTTGCTTCGCTGTGACTAGTCACAAGGTCTCTGGTGTTATTTCTTGTCACTGACAGGAAGAAGATACTCTCTCTTCTCTTCCAGTTTCAAAAAGAACTTATTTCAGAAAGTCCTTTCAAATGTGTGGTTCCTCAGCATGAACATTTGTTGAGTAACTCTGACTGAAAAAATTGTGGGAAGCAAACAAAAAAGGGTGACCGGAATGAAATGGTTCAGAGAGAGGTTCAAGAAACTACGTTGCATAACTATCAGAGACTAAAAAGAAATCCATTATCTTCTACTAACTTGGGTACTTCAGGTCTGAATTCAATATGGGACTAATTCTATTGCTCTGAGTACCCCTGAAGAGAAGCTGAACCCTCAGCTGTCACTGAAGTCAGCGGCAATTGAAGGCAAACTCCAGTTTTCAAGAGGCAGACAAGAAGGCTCAGGCCAAATGTGCAACTCCAAACGAACTCCTTTCTCTGTGTTCCTGTTCAGTTAAATACCTATGATGAGAAATGCTTACAAGTATGAAATGCTTCATACAATGCACGCCTGAAAGCAAAATATGCTTCAGCAGCGCTCATCTCGGGAGAGAGTATTCCAGGAACCAGACTGTTTAAACAAGCATGTGCTTACCAAGAGAAGAAATGACCTTCAGCAGCTAGAGAAACATCTTCTGCATATCTGTGTGCTGCTGGCTTCTCCCATGCGTGTAGAAAACAATCATGGGTAAAGTGTGTGAAAGGGGACAGGTTTTTCAATTACATTCTTAAACTTGTCATTTTAGTCATTATTCTCCTATGGCTGAACACCATCTGGCCCTATGCAGGGTAGGGGGAGAGGAAAGCATAAGCAGCCTCTCCTCTCTCATAGATTTTGTAGACACTAGGGCTGGAAGGGACCTTGGAAGATCATTGAGTCCAGCCCCCCACCCGAAGGGCAGGAAGTCAGCTGGGGTGATAGGATCCGAGCAAGATAAGCATCCAATTTTCTCTTGAAGGTCTTCAGTGTAGGTGCTTGAACCACCTCCGATGGCAGGCTTTGATTTTTCCTGAGCAAGTTCCCAAATGTTACTGCAATCCTTGAGGTCTAGGAAACGAAAGATTTAGAATTCCACAGTACCACTAACCTTTCTTCATGGGGCAGGACTAGCTCCCAGACCCACCCATGCTGGTTTGAAGAACTGACTGGGTGAAAGAGGTAGACTATGTGGCAACAGACGACTGCAAGGGACCTTTGGGGTCATGGAATTGAGTCCCTGCTATGATGGAAAACCATGCTATATAATGACTTTCATAGACTGATCAATCTTCATCTTAGGCGCAGTTAGGTTTTTAATCTTATTATTTGAAAACCACACTGCTCCAATTGGTTAAAAACATTCTTCAAGTTTCCACTCTAAATTTATTCATGGCCAGTTTATACCTATTGGCTCTGGTGCCAACCTTCTTCTTCCGCTTCAGTTCTTCCTCCCTAGCAGCAACATTCTCTCTAGGTGCTGCATAAATGTGTTTTAAGGCAGAACAGAAAAAGACATGTGTGTGATTCCCCTTAGCCTGGAACCATGGTAGCCATTTACACATGGTTGACCTGGATACAGAACACTCCCTCCAAGCTTATGAGGAAGTGGAAAATTCTGATTTAGTCACATTTCATGGCCAATTTGCCAAGGTGTAAATGACAGGAAACTATGTAAAAACAGCAGGAACTAGACTCTTCAGATTTTTTCCTCCTGCTATGAGGACACAGCACCAATTTACCCTTATGTATGAATCACACCACTTCTACCTTGTGAAATTATGAAGAAATGATCAACACTCCAACTGCAACCAGAAGGAGTAATTCAGATCTACTGGGCTCCTGTGTTTAGCTCCTGTTCTTTTTGGTGGGGAGATATAGAAAACCATCTAGGTTTTGTATAAGACTCTGCCTTGCTGCTTACAGAACACTGCCATTGACAGTGGGTGCATCTACACATGCAAATCATCCAGGAGCAGTTTATTCTCAACTAAATTACTCCCAGAGTAAATGATCCCAGCCATGCATCTACACATGCAGGGAAGTGGAAGGAGACTTGCTGCTCCTAGCAGCAAACTGCCCCTGCTTCCTGCAGCCCTGCAACAGGCCCCTGCCACCACCAGGGGGAGCTTGCAGCTCCAGCCACAGCTGTCTGCAGCCATCTTTAAAAGGCAGATCCACTCCCTGCTTCTTGGCCAGCTGCTTTTCTGGCTGGCAGCAGTGTGCAGACCATGGGGGCAGCATGTGGCAACTCACTCACTAAAGTCTCTGCCTCCCTGCACCATGGCTGCTCCAGCCTCAGCCCCTGGCAGCAACATCCAACACCCTGGGCTCCTGATGGCCATGATGCTGGCCCTGCTGACCTGCTGCAGTGACCACCATCTGACCCAGGGCAGTCTGGGCCCTGCTGGCTCCCCTAAGTGTAGCAGCTACCTGGCTGGCCTGGCCATAGTTTCCCAGGCTCCCCACTGCCATACAAATGCTGCCCAGACCCTGTCCTGCTGGCTGGACCCTAGCAGGGATGGCAATAACATGTTCATGGACACCACCACTGCAGCTGTTAATGCCCTCCTGAGCTTGTAGCCCCAATACCTCTGGGCCCACCCAGCCTGCTGGAACTGGATGCTGTATATCATCCAGCCGACCTGGGATGATGAGCAGTAGCTGGAGATGTTCCAGATGACCCAGGCCATCTTCCAAGACCTCCTGGAGCAGCTCCACCTGCACCTGGAAGAGTAGGAAACCACCATGAGGCTGCCCCTCCCCATGGACACTTAGCTGGCCATCACCCTGCTCTAGCTGGATGCACCCATGAGCCTCCACTATATTGGCCACCTCTTCAGCATGGACAAGGCTACTACCAGAGACGCCGTCCAGGATATGCTGGGGCACACAGTACTCAGTATGCATGACCCCCTGGTGCTGGTGATGGGGTTCTATGCCCTGGGCTTCCCCCAGTGCCCTGGATGGGACCCACATTCCCATCACCTGCACACCCCACAGTGACCACCCCTAATGCAGTCAGCAGGACTTCCATTCCGTCAGGACACTGTCCAGAACCCAGCAATCCTCCTTTGTGGCTTCCACAGTCCTGGCCATTAGCACAGCCTACAACTCCATGGCCTTAATATAGTGCTCCTCCACAGCCAGGAGCCTTGACCTGGACTCCTAGTCCTCTTGGTCCTGCACCTCTTTGTGGGCCACATTTTCCATCTACCAACTGTCCTTCCAGATGACATCCTCTATTTGCCATGCCTCCAGTGAAAAAAGCCACTCCTCAGACACCATGACCAGCCAGTGCAGCAGAAAGATCTGGTCCTGGGTCATCCTCTGCTGGAAACTGCACGTCCGCAGGACCCCAGCCAAGGCTACGGTGACCCTTAGCTGCCATCCCACCTGCCAACTGGAGCCTTTCCCCTGCATGGAGCTGCAGGACCTGCAAACTCATGAGAAAAAAACTGTTTGTTTGAGAGTTTACAACATTTCTGAGATGAGATGCTCTGTACCAGGGGGCTGTGTGCTTCCGGGCCTCAGATCGGGGGTCGTACATGTGTGGGTGCCCACAGACCATGGTAAATTGGCCAGGCAGGCCTGGGCCCAGGAGGCTGCCAGCCAAGTCCCCTGTCCATACTCATTCCCATGGGGATGGTGGGCTGCTGGGTGCTGCCACAGGCAGCCTGCCTCCTGTGCCCTATTCCCAGGGCAGGACAGAACAGGTTCCTGGTAGCACCTGGTGCTGCAGTTCCAGAGCCACCTCCCACCCTTGCAGACCAGCCTGTCTCCTGTGCTACCAAGCCCACAGCACCCAGGCTTGGGGGGACATGGGGCTCCTGGATGACTGAGATACTGAGCTACTAGTACCCTGCTCTCCCTGCAGGGAGCCTCTCCTGGGTGGTGTCCTGGGGTCAGTCCTCCCTTGCAGTGGCATTGGGCCCTGAATGTGCTCCTGCTGCGAGTGTCCCAAGCACAACATGAGGAGTTGTTTGTGCAGACTGAGGGATTCCTGACCCATTATACCCTGCTGCTATGATCATGGTGCCACAAGTGTACCTGCACACCTGGCACAGGACCCTGACCTTCAACAGTACAGTAGGCAAACCCACCCTGCCCCTCAACTCCACCACCTCCTGTGGCTGTGCTACATGTCCATGGCCCCCAGAGCCAAGAAGGACATTACTGCCAGCATCAACATGTTCCTCAGCTTGTTGAGAGGCTTGTGCCTACCTAGCTGTGGGGGCAGAGGATGCTCAATAACCTTCTGCATGGCTTCCCACCTCCCTGCATGCTGTGGGGGGAATCCATGGGCCAGAGGAGTATAGGTGGGTCAGGCAGGGCCAGGGAACTGAGGCCAGGGCTGGGGCTGGGGCTGGGGCTGGGGCAGGAAGGGCCCTCTGCCCAGTGCAGGTCTTACCAGGTGGGTAAGGCTGGCATTCCTGGCAGCTCAGGTTGGTCCCCACTGACAGTGAGGGCATGCAGCTCCCTTGAAATTCCTGGGTCACAGGGGCATGGTGCCCAGGGGCAGGGAGTCCTCCAGGGAGGAGCTGGAGCTGCTGACACGTGGCAGTACCATGGCTGGCCTGGCCTTGTGGGTGGGGCTGAGGCCACGGAGCTAGTGGGGCAGACATTGGCCTGGGCTCCCAGAAATGCTGGATGATGCTGCGGGTGGGGAGTCAGCAGAATGGGCTGGTGGTGTCCTGAGGGGCCCTTCCTCAGTGGCACATCACCATGAATGCCAGGGTATACCAGAGGCTCAGGCTGGATGCCCATGCTCAAGTATAGGGCATGGCTGCAGCCAGGGTCTCAGGGTGTGAGAATGTCATCCACTTGCCACATAAAGGGCATGGACTTGCAGGCAGTCCTCAACCAGCAATTGTGGTCAGTCATGGTAACCCACTGTGCCTGCAAGGCCTTGACCTTTGTGCAGCACTGCCACACCAACCAGTTATGCCTGTGCTCCCACAAGTGTCCTGACAGTCCCTTGTAAATGTAGGCATTGGAGCGCCCACCCCACGTGAACTGGCTGAGGACCTCAGCCTCACCCCACAGCATGGTCAGGTTTGCAGTCTCCTCCTGAGACCAACTGGGGCCCTGGGATATGGCATGTGGTGTTGGGGAGGATGTCAGTTGGCTCCCTTCATGGCTCACTGAGTCTCTGCACAGCATTCTTGGTGCTTCCAGGCCTAAGCCGCTGCCTGAACCACCAAGCGCAAAGTCATGGCACAGGACTGACAGACACAGGGCAAGGTGGTGCCAGGCACCAGCTGCAGGGTCAGAGCAGACTGCTGTGGATTTCCTGTGCCAGCTGGAGCTGTTCCCGGTGGCCAGAAGCTGGCTACAACTGGGCCTGGGTGCTGCCAGGCCTGGCAGGTGCCTGCAGTACCCTGCAGAACTGGATGACACAGCCCAGGCAGCCGCTCAGCACTGCAGTGCAAGGGAAGCACACCAGGGTGCAGGCAGGATGCTGCAGCTTCAGTGTGGCCCGTGCTGGGAGACGCTGTGGCCGCAGGCAGCCAGAACATGCCCCTAGGCCCCAGCATCCCTACAAGCTTTTAAGGGCCTTAGGCTGAGGCTGGGGCAGGCATAGAGCCAATCCAACCCTGGGGCAGGAGAGGCTCCCAGCCCTGGGATCCTGGGGCTTAGCTCAGGCTGGCCCCCTAGTGGCAAGGCAGACCGGGAGCAAATTTGCTCCTAGTCAGCATCTACACGTGCGATACTGCACAGTAACTACTCACGAGTAAATGTGATACTTGCATTTGCAGTCAGGAAATTTATTCATGATTAGAGCAGTTTGCTGAACAACAAGAGTCTGCATGCATAGCCACAGGCGCTTGCAGTAAACTCCTCTACTATGCAGAAAAGCATCTTGTGTAGACGCACTCAGTGATAATAGCAGGTCTGGTGGTGTGCTAAACTGGGCATATATAGGCTATACAAAAAATATGCTTTTATAAGTGGCATAGTTCTTTCTCCAATACACCTCTGCCATGTGTTTCACTCCCCTCATGTCTCCTTTTGCAAGTCTATAAACTTTTTTGGACAGGGAATGTTTTTTACTGCTGATCTATCCAGCACTTAGCATTCAGGCCCCAAGCCCTGGAAAGGATCTCTTGAGTCTCCCATAATGATACCAGTCATATAGAACTAGTGAAACTTGATGAGATTTCCTGTATTTTCTTCATTTTTCTCTTAATTATAAACGTCTCTGCATATATCCGAATAGGTTTTACCTAAGGTCTAAAACAATTACAGTACTTCTGCTTGAAAAAATGCTAATAGAGACACATTTTTACCCCATGACACTTTGAATTTCTTACTATTATTAGATGAAATGGCGTTACAAATATCAAAAACTCAATGTATAACGACAACACCCACAGTTCTTCTGAGTCTCTTAACAAAGAACTGCTCATAGATGAATGCTTTATCTGTCCATCTTGGATGCACGTTGAAAGCTGCAGTCACCTTAGGTTTTTTTGCCTATGCTTTTATTTGTCAGTCATATGCAAAACAGGACATGTCTACACAAGATGCATTACTGCGCATTAGCCTAGTTTACTGCACAGTACAAGCATGTGTCTACAAGTGCACACCCTTAATGCACAGTGAAAATGGCTAATCATGACTAAAGCTGATACTTGCAAATGCAAGCATCAAATTTAGTTATGATTAGTTAATGTGCAGTAATGCACACACAGACATGACCTGGCACTAAGTTGCCCTGGGTCTGCCCTGCCTTCAAGGGGCTGGCCTGAGCCCATCCCCAAGGCTCCTGTGAGAGTTTGCCTCTGTGGTAGCCCCTAGCTGCAGGCTATAAAAGCCTGCAACCATTCTGTGTCCTGGGGAGCACAGCAGCCTGAAGGAGCCTGTACACTTTCCAAGGGCACTGCAGGCCCCATGTACCCCCCTGAACAGGACACAGGCTGCCTCTGCCTGCCTTGTCTTGAAGCCAGAACTGCTGCTTGGCCACTGCAGGGCCATGCAGCTGCCAGGGCACCTCTGTCAGGCCAGGTGGGTGCTGCAGCCTGCTGCCCCCCCCAGGCCATCCGTGATAGCTCACCAGGGCTGCTTGCTGACTGTCTCTGCCAGCAGGTCCAGCACCGTCTCCCTGCTTCTCACACCCAGCAGCCTGCCCTGCACCTCCAGGTGGTGTGGAACATAGCCTCTGTTGCACGGCTCCCAATCCCTTGCTGTGCCCCTGCACTGGGCTCTGCTAGTAGCTGCCCAAGGCCAGCAACAGAGGGACAGCCACATGGGGGCCCAGAGAGCCAGCACAAGACACACTATGTCATCTGTCTCTCACACTTCAAGGCCCAGCCCTGCCTGTGTGTGCATGCCCGTGCCGTCCACCCAGGGCCTTAACTGGACCCTGAAAGAGATCAAGGACCTCTTGGCACTCTGGGGTGATGTAGAGGTCCAGAGGCAGTTTGTGTAGGGCAGGTGCTCAAACACCCATATTCATGAGGGTCTGCCAGGTGGGATGAGGGAGTGTGGGCACTCCTGGTCAGTGCAACAGTACCTCATAAAGGTCAAGGCCTTGCAGGCGCAGTGGGTGGCCATAACCAACCACAATCATCTGTCTGTCCATGCCAACAAGACTGTGATCTTTATGCAGCAGCTGACCCATATTTTAGTGCCCCTGGACTCAGGCTGCAACCCTGTAGTTTTCACTAGCAGAGGCAGCATGCCCAAGCCCCAACCCCACCTGCATGCAGCTGCAGGACCTGGGCCTGGTAACATGTCACTGGAGGAGGGGCCCTTAGGCACTCAGTGCCCCGTCCCACCCAGCTCCCCAGCTGCTATATCCACTAGCTGCTCTGGGAACCCTGGGCAGCAGCTGCCTCAGCCACTGCATAGCCCCAGACCTTGCCACAAGGAGCAGCTGGCTGTGTCACCACCGGCCATCAATAACACCAGCTTCTCCCCAGAGGGGGCCCCGACCAGGCACTGGCTCACTGCACACTGCAGGCCATGGATGCTGGGTGCAGCCAGATACTGTCACCAGTGGGGATGACTGCACTGAGCTGCCAGCTATGCCAGCCCCAACCACATGGTAAGTCCTGCACTGGGGAAGGGGAGGGCCCTCCTAGCCCCAGCCCCTACTCCTAGCCCCAACCCCTGCCCTGCCTCTCCAGTTCAGCTGGAAATCACCTGGGCCCAGGCCTGCTCAGCCTGACTTACCATGGTCCTTGGGCACCTATGCATGGCCAACCCCTGATCTGAAGCCAGGCAGTACACAGCCCCTAATGCAGAGCATCTTGTCTCTGAAATGTTGCAAATTCTCACAAAAGGTTTCTGTCTCATGGTTCTGCAGGGCCAGCATCGAGATGCAGAGGAGATATAGCAGCAGCCAGCCGAGAAGACTAGTCAAGGATGCCATCACCCACTGCCAGGGCCCTCTGCATGTGTGCAGCACTTGTGCAGTTGGCACAAAATCAGATCCTGCTCCTACTGCTGCTGGTGGTGCTGGCAGAGGATAGAAAGGAGTGGACTCAGGCCTGGTGGCGGGAGGACTTAGCCCAGGAGGACAGCTGGCAGGAGGAGGAGGCATTCTGAGCTGAGCGCCTGGCCCTGGAGTAGGTGCCAAATGCCATCTAGAACTGGGCAGTGGAGGCCATGGACAACAACTGCCAGACCCTGGACACCCTCCTGGGCTGGCAGTCATGTGCGTGCCCCCACTGCCCAGCCCTGGACCTGTAAGACCCCTGTTACCCATCCACTACCCTGCATCAGGCCCCTGCCTGGGCCTGGGAGGAGGTCCTCTGGCACCTCCCACCCACAGGAACCCCTAGCCCAGTCCATGCCCCAGGTCCACCACTTGCCCTGGCTCCATGTGGGTGTAGAGCCAGAGATCCCAGGAGTGGCACCACAAGAGGATGCTGGCCCTGTTGGCCCTGGACACGGGCAGCTGGAGGAGGAACTAACTATCCTGGAGGATCACTGGCTGCTGTCACCCCAGGATGAGCCTGCTGCCTGCTGCGGTTGACATGGCCCATGGACCCAGGGGAGAATGGCCTGAGGCTGGGGTGTGTGCCATCTGCCCCTGGACTCTGCCTGCTAGGCACCCCTACCCCACGGCCCCCTCACTCTGAGACTCCCAGAGACTGAGACTCTTGTACATAGTTTTGAGACTGGGAAGCAGGTTTTTAATTGTTGAAGGGTTGAGAGGGTGGTGAAGGGGCTCTATTTGTTGGGGAGGGAGGGACAAGAGTGGGGGGGCTGGACCCAATGATCTGTGAGGTCCTCCCTAACAATCTATGAAGAGGACTTGGTGTATTGAGGGAGGAT